TGTACATCTCCAATATCTTTCTAGAGTGCAAGATATAATAATAACAAAAAAGAATTCATGACCAACCCTGGTGTTTTGGGCCCAGGGTATTAAGAGCAACATGACATTTCCATCCAGAGATCTCTGTTCTCAGGTTGGCCCCAGCCTCATCTTGCAAGAAATATTGTCTACTAAATCATCTGTGAGTTCCAGAAAGGACTCCTATTTTATAAGTATAGCTCAAGAGGAAAATTATACCAATGAAGATAATTTAATATCAAGAATATAGGGGCTTGGGATATAGCTCAATGCACAGCACCTGCCTGGCAAGTGTGAGGTCGTGAGTTTGATTCCCGATACCAAGAAAGACAGAGAGAGAAAGAGAGAGAGAGCGAGAGAGAGAGAGAGAGAGAGAGAGAGAGAGAGAGAGGAAGGAGAGAGAGAGAATATAAAGAGCTACTTACCAGGTACTTAGTTATCAAACATGCAAAAATTTATCAGAGAAAGAAATAAGATGCAGTTGCCACCTATAATATTGGGAAAGAAGGAAAGATATAACAGGAGGTCTGACACTCAATTCTGAGGGGCCTTTGTCTAACAATGCTAGTGCCTCAGACCTTGGAGCATGGGCCCAGTAGAAAGCAGGTCAGGCCTTTTAGGGAAAGGTGACAGCTGCCTGGTACCAGAGAAGGGGCCAATGGGGTTAGTCCAGTCTTCTAAGAAGGAGATGCTGCCAGCTAAGACTACCTCTGAAGACATTCCATTAGACGGGTTCTGTACATTTTGGGGAAATTAGTAATTGGTAGTAACTGCTGTTGCTAGAATGAACTGCCACTACTTGAGCAAGGAAGCATTGCTGGATGGTAGCAAACTAGAGATAGAAGTAGCAGAGAGAAAGACAAAATTTCTCCTCTTCTAGGTTTGCAGTCTCTCACTAGCACACCCTCTTAGCCCAGTCTAACAGGGTACTAGTAGCAAAAGAGAACTAACTGTGTTTTGCTGTGATGTAGCATGGAGGGGTGGATTTAATGCTACGAGACAATAGCTTAATAATAACGTCAACCCCTTTATATGTTAAAAACATTGCCTGGGAGAGAGAGAAATAAAAAATTTTCGGTGATATTCTCATGACTAATCTTAAACCTGACTTTCTATTTCTCCATTCACCCCCATGTCAGCCCCTCTGGCTACATTTTTTTTCTTTTTTTGTAAAACTTGAGCCAAGATTTTTCTGTCTAACTTTTATGCATTGTTATGTCATAACCAGTGTAATTAATGAGGGAAATTCTTTGGGAGAGGTTATCTAGATAGCTTTTACTTCAAGGAGTTATTTACCACTCCAAGAAAGGATATTTTTAGAGTATTTTTATTTAAAGAGAAAGAGCAACTTTACTTGGGAAATGATTTACCATGGAGGTCTTCTTTATGAGCAGAAGCAACAGTAAAACTGCTGGCATCATGCTTTGGGCTTGTGAAATACCTAGGCAGAGGGACATCCTACTATCCTTCCCAGGTGTGGAACAGAGCTTATGACACACAGCTGCCCCTTCCAACATTTCTAGGATTCTCTATTGGCCTCTTGCCAGTCTGAGCTAATAATAAAAATTTGAAATAATGAAAAAGGCCCATGTGATTTTCCTTTTGTAAACTCTGGGCTCCAAACTATTACAATAGATTTTTTTTTTTTTCTTACGAATGGAAATATGCAGATGTCTTCAAACAGGAAAGCAGACACCTGTTGGATTTTTTCTGTTGATATGGATTTCAGGTATCAAAATGAATATCTGTTTTAAAGAATGGTCACCAGCTGCCACCTCATTTAAAGAGAGCTCAGCAAATCCCTGGAGCCTGGCTTATGTAACAGACGCTCACAGAAAAACACAGGAAGTCAGTACAGAGTGGTATTGTTTTCCAGTGTTTCACTTTGAGAAATTAGTTTGTTGTCTGGCAAGAGGAGAGATGATCCAGTGTTCCTAGAAATAACAACCTCCCTGTGTAGTCACCAAACTTCCCACAGGATGGAGGCCGGTTTGTGAAGGGCAGGTGTTAATTTTTGAGCTCTAGCCAGGACCTAGAATACTAGCAAGGAGCTCATCCAAGGAACTCAGAAAGAATTACTTAAGTCACATTCTGAATCTGATTTTTAAGTCTCTAAGAAGAAAATAACAACAAGGTGTTGTAGACAATGTTTCATTCAGTAAACAGAAACAGAATGTTGGGAAAAAGTTATTTGCATGAGAGATAACTCAGCATTAGAAGTTAGGTAGTACCAAGATGTGTTAGGGGGACAAAAAGGATGAGGCCAGTCTTGGTCTAACACGAAAGTATGTGTACTATTTTATTTTCTTTGGGGGTAAAAAGGTATCAGGAATTGTTTATTTTAGTTCCTTTAACAGGAACTATTTTAGTTCCTCTTTTATTTCCTATATAGTGCGATCAGTCTCAGTCGAATGTATACTCTTGCATAGATATTAGGCTTACCCCAAATTTGAAGAATTCCGATTACTAATCATACTCTGAAGAATAAACCTGGGACAAAGCTGCAGGTTCTGTCATGGAAACAGAGATTCACTGTATTGCTATTTTCTGGTAAAGTGCTCTAGAGAACTCACCAAGTGCTCCAAGTCTTATATTATTGTTTAGGAAATGCTCAAAGCCACCAAAGCTTCATATTCAAAGAACCACCAAAAAAGCATTCACACAGCCACAGGCCAGACGGAGAGGGCTTTTGTGAGACTCTCCCTCCTGTGTGCCAAGAGTGGTTTAATTCCGTTAGACTGGACCCAGCTAGCCAAACCAGCAGACACAACAGAAAACCTTGAGGGCCTACCTGAGGCCAAATGTATTAACAAACGAAGAGACCTGCAAGCAACCTTCCCACCAGTATTAACCACACCAAATGCCAGTCCAACCAAGGATTCTCATAACTGGTTCTTGTTCCGACACAAGAGCGAGAAGAGCCATTTGCTGTGGCCAACGGTTACTCTACCTCTCCTCTGTAAAAAGCCGCGGTCCTCGAAGAGCTTACTCAAGGTCTCCACTGAAGAACAAAAAAACGCGGGTAAGATTGGTTTCCTCTCAAGTTATGACTCAACTTTGGTCAGCACGCTTCCACTTGGGCTACTAACATTTGGTAGCCAGAATGTCACTCTTTTCAATCGGCTATACAGCAAACAACCTCGCTGCCTTTTAGTCATATAAAAAAACCACAAGAATATTTTCTTTTGACTCTGTTCTCTCCACATCAGACCCACAGCCGGGCTGATGCTGAAGCCTATCTTCTCACAATCTCCTAGAAAGTGGCCTGCCTGGACTTGCTTACCTAGCTAAAATGAAAGGCAAGAAATAAACAGCTCAATGGTAATTATAAATAAGGGGTTCTGGGTGTTGAACCTGTCCGTGCAACAACAGAGCAGGAAAACATTCTGCCCCATCACTGCATAAGCTGGGAGCCACATCCCTTGTAAGCGTGGACAACAAGGACCCAAGCAGAAGCCACAGGTGGAACACTAATGCCTGCTCACAGATTGCTGACCCGGGAGCAGAGCAGCGGACAGTGGCAAGCTCTGCCTTGTATTTCTTCATCTGCTCCTTCTCAGAACAGCAACAGAAAACGGAAAGACTTTGAGCCTATAGAACTGAAAGAGAAAATAAAAAGAGAAAAGCTGTATTTGTTTTTCTTGCTCTTTCTCGGAGCTCTGAAGACCTGCTCCTTGCAGATGGTGATCTCCTGTGTGCTCGCGTGCACATTAAGAATTTCATGACTCGGGCCCAGGAACACAGCTCAGGGCCCTCGTTCACCTACTGCGTCAAAGCCCTGAGTTCAATCACCTGTACAGCAACACTAAAAATAAAATAAAATAAATTTTATGATACCTTTTGGCTTGGAGGTTTTATTATTATTAGTGTTGTTATTACGTTACTTATGACTCTTTAGTATAAAAAGAATAGTTAAGATTGATTGAGCTTTTCCTATGTAACAAGCCGCATAGTCAGCATATTAAAACTATCTTTTTAACCTCACGACTGTGTTACATATCAGATACGAATATTATCCCTAATTAAAAATTTGGAACCTAAAGCATGAAGAGATGAACTTATGGGAGGTCACAGTAACAAATGGGAGAACCAAGGTGCAGCTCCAGGTCCTATGTCCCCAGAGCCCCTCCTGCTATCCACTGCAGGACGTCCTTTCTCCCTTTGAAGCACTGAACTCCTACCCTCAGCAAAGCCATATACTTAGCATCAGGAGCAAAACAAAGTAGTTGTTACAAATCCCACCACTGGCTTCCCCAGGGGGCCTCCTCAAGGGTCTCCTTATTCCATCCCGCATCTCTTTGTTCTAGTAATTACTTTGCCCGTGGAGAGTGCCCCTCCCATTCCTTAACCCTTTCTTCTCATTCCCTCATCCCTGCCCAGGCTGTCTAAATTTTACTCAGGCCTAGAGATACAATTCACCTGCCACCTCTCCTGAAAAGGCTTCTCTGACTCCTGTAGCTTTTACCTCTGAATTCCTACAAAACATAATATTTATACTACTGACTTGAGATTTATGTTTAACTTTTTCTTGTTACTTTTCTATTTGAGAGTAATTCATCTTCAGCCTGAATTCATTATATGCCACTCTTTCCACTGATTATGAGATCCTTGTAAGCAAAGACCATACATTAAAACAGCTGTTCATGTCCATACACACTACACTCAGCATCTGGGACGTGACAGGCAGTCAGTAAATGACCACTGAGAACCGGGTTAGCAAACCCACCATGACCTGTAGTTTGAAACCAGCTGGGTTGATAGGGAAAGGAGTTGAGTGTTTTTCTCAGAGCTCCAGAGAGTACTGTCGAATATAATTACAGTCAAAGGAGTCTCTTCAGGGGCACAAAAGAGTCCTCCAAACCCTCATGTTTCCACTTCTTTCACAGGGTCCACTCAGACCCCTAAATTCCAATTGAAAATTACGGACAGTGTCACCAGACCCTGACAAACAAGGCCAACTTTTACTTGCAGGTTTCACTTACCTTCACACCTGTGGTTTCAAAGGTGTCCAATTTCCTCTGAAGTCTTTCTGAGAAGCTTCATGGCCTACCCTGCTTTTTCCACCCTGCCAGTCATTCCTGTCAACAGTGACAATGTCCTTGTCAAACAAAAGTCACTTTAGCTATCAGTTTTCAATTGTCTTTTAGTGAGGATAATCCCTGGCTCCTAGAAAACTGTTTCTTTTTGAGCAACTGCTGATGCAGCATCTTATTTAGAATTTCCAAGACTTCTTTGACTGATTTCTCTGTCCGCACCATTTCTCATCATTTTCCGAAGATCCAGTAGAAAGGATTGCTGTAACTTTACTTTCCACAGTTTGTATTATGAAAAAGTTTGGCCTGTTATCTCTGTGTTTCAACCACATACGGCACTGAGAGAGTTCAGTATGCCTGAGAAAGGTGTATACACCCCAGGGAAAACTTTTAAATTACTTTCTATTTTCAATAGTGTTTCTTTACCCTCCCCAGGAACCCATCCTTTGGTGGCTTGAGCTAAGTGAGAATAATTTTGCCAACTGCAGAATTCTTTTTTTTTAGAAATTAAAGGAGGAAAATACTAACAGACCGACAACATTTTACAAAATAGCATATGATCAGTACAGACATTACAGAGTTACAAACAGAGTGGTAGGGAATTAACAATGCTTATTGTATTACATATTGATATCTTCAATGTAGTTTCTCATGAAAACACATATAGACATACGAAGCTAATCAACCAATGCCTCACTGACAGTTTCTTTCAGCAAGGAAATACAGGACAGTAGAACACCCGTGTTAACTATCCTGCATATACATATATACAAACTTTCTCCTTCTTTCCCTTCTCTTTTCCCATATCCCAGGCCAACTGCAGAATTCTGTCATCTGTTTTCATTTTTATCTATCAATCCATTACTCCAGGAGGAAGTCGTATGATAGATGTAACCATACGAAGGGACCTCACTCACCCATCTTCTGTATGTACTAACTTGGGGACATGTAAATCAATAAGTAAACATCTAAACCTGTGTTGCCTCTGCTGTCCTATGGCCATTTCTCCATTTGTGACCTACCAATTCTTAGTCCTGAACTTGGATCCTTTATAGAGGTTGAGTTTTAGGAAAGAATAGTTAATTCATCATTTTACTGTGAAGTTCAGTTGTGCCCTGAGCTTACTATCATGTGGGCTCCTAGCATCTGCTCACATCATAATCCTCTGCCTGTCCCCCTGCCATTTTTATTGCTGTTTATTATTTGTGTGCCGAGAACAAGGTATGGTACAGAAAAAAAGAAAGTACTGGGTAAGAATGATAGGAATGATACGCTGTCAGTGACTTAAAATAATCCAATAAGGCTCTAAAAACAGGTTCTTCTCCTCTCAGGGACTAGGTCTTCACACAGTCAAAACTAACATAAAAAGAAGGAGGCAAACATTGTAGTGTGGACCAATGTGTTTTCAGTGACCAACGCTGGACATGTCCATGGTAAGGTGTAAACACAATTCATCTTCCAACAAACTGCTGGAAATGTCTCTTTTTAAAATCTTATTTCCCTGAAGTCAGTCAACAGCAAATCAAAAGTTCTATCTTTCTTTCTAAAGGACAAACCAATCCCTGCCCAAAGATCAGAAGTTAGGGGCTGGGGATTTAGCTCAGCGGCAAAGCGCAAGCACAAGGTCGTGAGTTCGGTTCCCGGTACCGGAGAAAAACCAAAAAAAAAAAAAAGATCAGAAGTTAACACATTCAAATCTCACACCAACAAGACACTAGCCATGCAACCTTAGGCAAGTTATTCAGGCCCCCAAATATCAGTCACAGGCAAAACCCAGGTTTTGCTCCAATTACCTTACAGGGATGTTGTGAAGATAGACAGAGTTAATCTATAAAAATGCTTTGTAAACTTTAAAGCGCTGCACAAGTAGAAACTTATGTAGAAAATATTAATATTTTATTTGAAATTTTCCTAATGTAATTTTTTTGTCTCCTACCATTTCTCAAATCTACTCTTCTAATATACCAATGAGTCTTTTCTGGAATATTGAAAATTTTCTTTTTGTTGTTGTTGTGGTTTAAGCTTCATTTGTATCCCTCTGCAAAATAAAGCCAAAGAAAAGTCCGCTCTTTCTTAAACTACTTCTGTGTTAATATGCAGATGCTCTTGTCTTTCAATTTTTTAAATAACTAAGGAACTGGTTTTCCTTTGAGAATTTTTTTTAAATGTTCTGGACCCATAAGAAAGAGAATGAGATCTCTTTAAACCTGACTCTGAGATTACAGGGCACTCGGAATTAATTTATACCATCCTATTATCAAATCAACACCTACCTTTCCCTACAGATTGCAAGAAACATTATAAACACTGTCATTCCAAGATTTGCTCCTGTATTATTATCCTTATTTTTAATAGGTGAACAATTTTCAAGTAGTTTGCAAAAGACATATGAAATGCTAACGTGTGTTCAAAAAGTAAAATATAAACAAAAATAATAAGGCTTTGCCTAGAAAAGAGAGAGGACCATTAACTTGGAGACACAAAATTAGAGGAGACAGGACTCTAACTGCATTCATTGCTAGTACTGGTGGTGTGTGAAAAGTACTGCTTCCAGCAGATTTACTGCATCTGTACTCTCATAGCAGTTTAGTAGAACGGCATCTCTACACAGTAAGAAAGCATGTTACCATGTTATCTATTCTAATTATCTTCTACAAATGTTTAATAAAATAATTAGGTCTAATGATATCTAGTGCTAAAATAGGTAATTTGTACAATCCAATCAAAGCTTTTAATTTGGTAAAAAAAAAAAAAAAAATCCAGACAATATAACTAAAGGATTAACTTCTTCCTAAATTCTTTGATTGATGCTTGGGCATTGTATAATTCTATTCAAAACTGACCCCAAATAAATCTATAAATGAACTCTAGCATTAACACTTGTTATAAAAGATGACTCTTTGTTTGGTAGCTGATGGTACAGTGTTTTACAGAAGTGGTAGCACTAAACCAGACCTTGAAGAAACTCATAAGACAAACTCTTGGTGAAAGCGAAAGGTTTGGAAAGTAAGATGAGTTGTAGTACAATTTAGGGTAAAAGCTGACAATTTTAAATCTCCAAGAAAAATCTTTTACTTGTAAGTTAGGTTGTCATTTCAAATTTAATACTACTGGGCTTTATTTAGGGATACAAAGCTATTAAAATAGATGACGATGTTGATGACGCTGTCAGCAGGTCAGCTTGTGACCTGAGCTAATGCTGAGAGTGTATGATTCAGCTGTTCGCTGATTCACTGACCCATTTTCCTATGATTAGATCACAATGAATATCAACTACAGAAAATTGCTATGCTACGAGAAGAGTGGGCAATTTTCATAAAACACAAATAACTAGCTGAAAACCATATTTCCTTCTGTGACACAAAGGAGAAATTACTCTGTGAAGTACAGTAAGAACTGAGAACTCCAGAGGGAAGCAGTGATTCAGGCTGTGAATTTACACACTAGTTATGCAAACCAAGCTTCATCTCTTTTGGTCTTCACTCATCTGTAGCAAAGAGGCCAGGGATCCAAAGGATTCCTCTAAAAGTAAAAATAAACAGATGCACTAGCTTGAAAGTAACTCTGTAGAAAAGTGAATTGCAGTTTATACATTTTAATAACTTTGAATCAGAAAATATACCCTTTATGGCAATTATTTTTGACTCATTTCTTGCTTACTGAGGGAAAAACCATAGCGTCTTGGTAGAACCAATGTAGATAGTCTAAAAAGCTTTTGCCTTATAAATAGGAGTTAGCAGCACCTCATGAAAAAGCATTCTTTGTAAAACAGCAGAAGGACATTTGGATACCTATTTCAACACATATGGGAGCATTCTGAATAATGTATTACCTAAATGATCATTTAATTTTTAGGCATTAAATTTGTTTTCTTCTGACAAGCATTACTCATTAGGTGTAGATTCTCACATCATTCTGAAAAGAAGGTGAATCTTATTAGCCACTAAGATTAAGTTTACCTCATCAATTCACCCTCAAACAATTCAAGGCTAAAAAAAAAAAGAAAAGAAAAGTGAAGAGACCACAGGTCAACAGCAATAGCAAGTAACCCATGTAAGACTACTTGATTTGCCTTTTCTTAGAGGAGGCAGAAAAAAAATTGAACAGAAATTTAGAAAACATGAAGGACTAGTCAAGAAATGAGAATAACAAATTAAGGAAAATAAGAATTAATAGGTTTATTTTAGTGTAAGATAAAATCTTAGTTTTGGTGGCATTCTGACTCTTGGACTCTGATTTATAATTTAGAGCAATTTCTAAAAGGAAATACATTTAGAAGAATTCAAGGTGCTATTCTAACTATGATTTCTCAGCCATAAAGGGAAAAATTTCTCTTCTGCTCTTAGGAACTTAAAATTCTGGACATGTAAGATCATCATTGCAGAGATTTCTTTAATTGCTTTTGCTAGAAGCCAAAACATATGTATCTTCACAGTGGACGGTGGCTGGGACTGCAGCAACTCCCGCCTTCTTTCTACCCAGTCATACCTGTAGGCGGAGAACCATTCCTTCTGCCGTGATCTACATGGGATGGGGAAGAGATGAATGGTAGCGCTCAGGCCAAGTGGCGTCTGTACAGGTACCAATGAGAGGATGCAGCCCTTACTCGACTCCCTCAGTTAGCAAGACTCAGAAGATGCTCCTTCCCACCTCAGCAAACAGAGATTGGTCACCACATGAGGAATATGCTCTCTCATCCAGTCACTACTGCAGGCATATGTGTGTTCTAGACATGACACCCGAAAGCCTAAAGGGCGGGCATATCAGTGTCTGAGTACTCTCGCTGCACAGAACCACAGTGGTGAGCTGTAAAAAACCCTTTCAGAAGTGGTGGTGGGAGGTAATGACACTTTGAGCAGGTTGGTCTCTAAGGACACTGCTTGAACATGCCGGGGGCACCTTACCTCAACTGATTAATAGCAGAAGCACCAAGAAAGAGCATCATAAGGCCAGCAGTTAAGTCTTAATAGTTGGCTATACTAGGTCAGACAGTGCTGTGTTTTAAAATTTGAGATATAATTCACATATCATAAAATGCACCCCTTTCAAGTGTATAATTGAGTGTATTCACAAGGTTAGGCAATATCCCCGTTAACCAAGTTCATAACATTTTTATCACCCACAAAGAACTGCCATGTCCAGCAGCAGTCTCTCCCAATTCCACCCTTCAACTATCTCTTGGCAACCACTAATACACTTTCTATCACTATCAGTATCATGTGCTTTTTCTGGACATTTCATATAATGCAAAAGGAAGCCTATATTATGTAGATGTTTGTTAAAAGGTTTCTTTTAGTCAGTATGTTTTGTTCAAGATTCGTCCATACTGTGGCATGTATTAGTAATTCATTCCTTTTTAGGGCTAAATAATACTCCATTGCATAGATTTACCACATTTTGTTTATACATTCATCAACTATTGTATATTTTGGTTCTTCCTACTTTTGGGTTACTACAAACCCAATGACCATTAG